TTTGGATATCAAATGATTTTGCAGCAAGATTAAGGACTATAAATACCTAAGTTTTTCTTGACTAAATAGTTCTGAGAAATTGATAACAGCATAAATATGGACAACTTTTTTTTGAATTTCAGCAGTTAGGGTTGACTAGTGTTTGCCAATTCATCCAGAGCTAAAAAAGAGAAGGTTTTTTGAATTTTGTCAGGAAGAAAAAATCACTTTTGATTTTTTATTGGTCTCAATTTACGCAGCATGGAATTGTTACAATTGGGATTATTCCGGTGATGTTTGTCAAAGAAAATTCATTTCTTGTGAGGATTTGCGATTCTAATCATGGTTTTATGACGATTTTACAGATCAAAAAATTGGTATTAACATTAAAAAAATTTGCTTTCTAATAATCTAAATCTCTTTTGAAACCAAACTTGCTAACTACCTAATCTCAGACATCACCCAAAACTTAGCAATTATAGCTATTCGCCCCTCTTCCGCTCCTTCGTTCAACAAAAATATTTACATAAGTGCTTGAGATGGAAGAAACCATGTGATCTCAGCAACGCGGATATGAAAAAGCTTTTTTAATCTAAGCTGAGATAACTATTCCAATATTCATATAAACAATGTAATCATGATATTACCCTCAATTTCCGATTAACTTTCTTTCGATGAGCGTTTTCTGCTCCAGCTCAGAATGAGCTCTATTAGCAATTCTAAATAGCGGAATTTTCCCAAGCGATGTTATTTTCGAGATCAATAATTTATCAAAAACCATCGTAAGAGTTGTTGAAGTAGTTCAAGGAGGGAGGCGTTTTGTACTTAGAATTGAGAAACATGTATAGAATGGGTAATATGAGGGCTATATGGAAATAGAGAAAGCCAGAAGACTTTCGAAATTTTTTTTTGAGATGATTCTACAATTTTGCAGGCTTGTTTCTAATATTTTGAAGGCAATTGGCTCTAAAAGGCGGACAAAATTTATCTGCAATGCTGATTTGATCTCGATGAAAGTTACAACTGATCTAACCGTATAAAGATTAGAGCAGTTTTACGTTATTAGAACTCATTTAGACGATTTATATGAATTTTCAAGTTCTTTACTGTTCCGCTTCCTGGAGGGAAGCACATTTTATCAGAATGTGTTAAACGAAGAGAACAACCTTAGAGTAATCCTTTGAACTAAAAAGGCTATACCAGTTAACAAAATCTTTTTGAAATTTTTGATGGTAATTTCCTGGTTGTTTCCAATCAAGGTATCCTTAGAACTGTGCTGATAAACCCTTACTTTCTGAAGAATAATAAGTTTGTCTGAGGACCGGAATGTACCCAGTTTAAGGTACCGCTAGAATTCCTCTGACATCTCATTTTTTAAAGCATGATAAATCTAAGGATCATAGCTTTTTCTCCTTCCACTGTGACACGGAACTGTTGATCTTTTTTCAACAACATGAAAAGATAATTGTAGCAGCGACCCGTCAGCAAATCGGAAATGTCATGACTGACGCAAGAAAATATAATATTACATCATAGTGGCTCAGTAAGATTTTATGACGCTAAAATGATGATTACGATTCGCAAAAAAAATGAAGAAATTATTACGAATACTCGTTTTTCCTTTTATGCTCCCATGTGAAATTACTGTGGCTTTCTTATATCGCTTATTCTGCATAGTCAAGCCTTGAGCGGCAAAATAGAGAAAATGTTGAAAATTGCGTTAGACACTGAATAAGGGGATTAGGTTTTTGTGATAGCTGACAATCTACTTATTCAAGGTAATCAGAAGCAATAATAAAAGAAAAATCTAGTGTTATTTTCTGGTATGCTTTTACGTGCTCTATATTCTAACGTAAAAATACCCTGGAACTGCAAGTTACTAAAGGGCGTGTTGAATGGCGAAAAAATGTAAGTATAAAAAAGAAAAAGAATTTTAAAAATAAATTCGAACGAAGATTTCTGAAAGGTTTTGAAAGCATTCTATGCAGCATTTCATCTTCTTTCTTTTTTTTGCCTATAATTTCATTTCTCTTTAACGAACTCTTGAAAAATTATAAAAATCTGTGACCCATGCTTCTTAAGACAATCTTTAACAATTCTTCTAAATTTCTGTGATAACCCTCGGAATCAATCCAAGCAATAGATGGATAGAAAAACTCCACAGAAAAGAATACAAATCCTTTTTCTCTCCACAGCTCGTCATGATTTTAGAAATTTTCCCCTAACTATCGAATGTTGAAAGGCCTAGTGACGTCAGCCACCATCGCATAAAACACCAATAATTTTTCGGGGTTCTTTCAAGACGGTACTATGATTTAATACTAATTTCACAAAGCAAATGAGAGTTCACGGATTTGAAATATCAAATCTGGAACTTTCCGAGCTTTCAGAGCAGCTTAGCCATCAGTTGAAAGCTTGAATTATGAAGATTCTAGCCAAAGACTTCACGAGTTGGAAACAAAAAACATCCATTAGTAAAAGGAGTAAAAACTGCAGTGATTTGCATCCGAGAGCTGCTCGCCCTTTGATTTTCTACGAGGAGTAAGTTGACGAGTATGGAAATTGGTAACGTCAGTTAGAATTGTGTTGAATACATATGACGGGCTATAAAGAGTAAAAAAATTGTGCTGCTTCCTGTAGGGTTTGCACTGTCCATCCATAACTTGTATTCCTTTCGAGGGTTATTATAGAAATTTACAAAAATTGTGAAACTTGAACATCTCAAAAAGCGCGTGTCGCAGATTTTGGTATTTTTTCAAGAGATCACTGGTTTCAAATGTAATCAAAACCATATAAAGTTGTTGAAATGCTGCATAGAATGTTCCCAAGATCTCTTAAAAATCCTGCTTTCATGGAAAATGGCGTTCATTTGAAGAAAAGCGACATTACTTTCGGAACGACCTCATAGAAAATAAGAAATGCTTCTAAAACACAAATTTTGAAAATGCAAGAAATCATCCCGTTTCAATGTGCATAGAAAAAAGACCAAAGGGCAGCGTTTTGGTAACACTGGTATGCTGGTGGCGTGCTGGTAATTGATGGTATGACTATCGCCAATGGGAGTATTTTTCTGCATGAGTAACTGGCACAGGATGTAGTATGTTAAAGCGCATGGCTTGTGGCAGATGTCTGCGTGATTGAAGCCTATCTGCGATGCGATGTCTCGACCCCGATCTCAATTGATAGCTGTTGAGTTCGTAAAAACTAGCTCAACATAGTTTTTTTTACCGCAATTAAAAGAAAAGGACAGTACATCAATCTCAACTGCAGATGTATGTACTTTTCATCCCCCCCGCTCGACCCTTAGCTAACTCTTCCTCTTTTCACGTTTTTTCTTATTTTTACTTCATCCCATCAAGTTGAAAGTACGAATATCGTGGGGGGGGGGGGGGGTGTGAATAAAGACTTGCCTTTATCAATATCTAAGACTTGCTCTATTGAGTGAATAAAATGTTTCTTATATCAAGTATTTCTCTTAGAAGCAAGCTTTGCACAAGTCGCATTTATATTCCTATCAGATAAAAACTTAATAAACTTTGCACGTCTCTGACTGCAAAGAAATGACTGTATAGCAAAACGCACTTTGCAGAAGTATTAAGATTATGCGTAAGCCGCAGAGGACAAGTGAATCTAAATTTTTTTCGCTGACCTTTCAAACAAGACGGAAGATTGAGTGCAAAAGTCATGGCCTATAGGCATGCCCTTATTGCTGCACTTTTGAAAAGTTGCAAAGGAAAGGTTACGCTAGATTTATTCTGAAGAGAGTATGAGAATGAACCTAGGAAACGAAGAAATCTCAAAAAACGGAAAATCACTGATAGAAGGGAGATAAATGTGTGAGATTTGAAAAAATTTTTTTTCACGAATATTAGTTTACCTATGTTTTCAATTTGAAATTTGAAATTTTGCGAGTTTACCTCAGAAAAGGGCAAAATCGCTTATCACCGAACTAGTGCTCACCATCCTTCCTCAATTCTAGGGATTTCTAACTTGTTTTGCTTCTGACAATAATCGTTACGAGTTTTCCGAACGTAAGCAATGTTGTTTATTTCTATAAATTGTTTATCACTTCAGAAGAATAATCTTTAGTGTACACGATAGGTTTTTGATGTTAGTGTGCTTGAGACAAACATATTCAATATGAATGATACTGTAGCTTTAGGATATGAGAACAATCAGCTTTATTATATAGTACATCGCACTTTTTGATAGCTACTGAGATATTTATGAAATGGCTCAAAATTTGTTTTCAACGCTGTCATTAGCTATCGAAATTGTTAAATTATTTGTGGACCATCGACTGCGCCGCAAACAATTCTAGTGAAATTGAATTCAACCCAAAGATGACCATTGGTGCAGACATTGAAAGAACACCGCGATTTTTGATTGAAGTAAAATTTACTTTAATATATAAAGTTTTTATCAAGTTTCGTTCAATTTGAGCTTCAAATCTACTTCAATCTTCTCGAAATTTTTTTAGGCAAGAGAATATCATTGTGCCAGGATTTCGTTGAAAAAATAAACGTATTAGCGAGCCCTAAGAGGGAGAAGGAGGAGGGGAGAAAAGATACGGAAAATGAGCTCAAATTTTTATGGAAACTTGGTTATCCTACAAACCCTAACTCTTCCTTCCCTTTTTTCTTCTCCTAATAAAAACCTTGGAGAAAAATAGGAAATACGCACTTGTCAAGCCTTTCTTCAAATATTCAAAACCTTCCAAAAATTTCATTATTTTGGAATGTTTGAACATGGACCACCTAGAGTGTCACTATTTTCATCCCATGGCTTTTCTCCTAAGTTGTTTTCGCAATATGCTTGTATGTTCTCTATTTACAGGGTTATCTTAAGCTAGCTATCAGTTTCTTCTTGCCCTTTACATCCTCCAGTAAGTTCCTCAGGGATAGCGCAACAAGACCTTCAGGCTACTTTTGGTTATATACAAGGGATTTTTATTTATTTTTGAATTTTAGGCTGAAGGAAATTTGTGGAATAAATAAAGAAAAGAATGAGAGTTTACAAACTCGTATTTCGACGAGAGATGTCCAATCGCCGTACATCATTAGAATCTGGTTCACATCTATGCAGTCAATCATGACTATGACCTGCAAAAATAGGCTTGAGAGGCTAATATGGGCAATTAACAGAGCCCTAAAGATTTTTTTGGGGCTCAAATGGGCAAAATTAGACAAGGAACACGGATAAGAGCAACAGAGCAAAGTATGAGCGTAAAAGAATATCTAGGATTGTCTGTGCGACTCTCAGATCTCAGCCGAGTGCTCGGCGCAAAAATTAGATTTCATTGACATATCTTCAGGGGGATGAACACACACGGCACAGATGGCCGATGAAGATTGAGATGGAGATGTGAAGTGTCCGGTGTGAGCCCCTAGGCCCTCCTCTCTCACAAACATAGACATGCACTCACACTCATTCGTTCTCACACACACATGGAGACACCCACCCCATCGAGAGATGATGATTGCGTTCGGCTCCGCCTTTTGCCGCAGGGCCTAGAGGGGCTCAGTGTCCCATAATACTCGAGCGTAGTTGACGATGAGCCATGGGATGATATTGAAAATCTAGCGGAGATTTTATAGTCTGAATAGTCCAATGTCTAGACACCCTAAAATGTTGCAATTCGTCGAAATATGGGAAATGGGATGGGGAGCAAATTGAAAAAGGTGGCCCTTTAAAAACTCCTTTCAGGTTCTTAACAGACTTATTAGGTGGGCATTAATCTGTCGAGCTGACAAAATTATCGAGAAATTGATGATCCCTTCACTTCTGTCAATGATAAAATCAAGTTATATTTTTGCAAAAATTTTTTTAGAAACTTTTCTTTCTGTTGTGTTCTCGAGCGCCCTCGTTTTTCCCGTGTGGTACCCTCGAGAGCGTCAAAAAACAAAATCTGATAAATATTATGTTCATGTGCTGTAAGTGGCGTTCCCAAAAATCTTTTTGAGGAAAGGAGAGGGGTAGGGCAAATGAAATACCTAAGCTACTGAAAGGAATTCAAGCCTCTAAAATTTCGAAAGAATGCGAACCTTTTTGATGGGCTTATGAACTTGACTCCAACAAAATTACACGCAAAGCTAACTTGATTTTCCTAAATTCTGGGAAGCTATTTTGCTTGTTCGCATACATAAACAAATGCGGTCGATTTCTTCTTCATAAAGGTGGTAACCTCTGATTCATAAGGCTTGGCGGTTGGAAGGCGGGGTTTTGTGACCTAAGGTCGCTCGCGCCCGCTACGCAGTCTGCGTCTCTCCGCGTGCGTGCTTTCTGATCATTACCTAGCCTTATTTAGGTCACGAAGTCACGACTTTCAGCCGCCAAGCCAGTTGAATCAAAGGGTACTTGACGGTAGCCATGCAGGGCGATATTAAAAATCTCGAGGAGGACCACATCATCTGCATAGTTCAATGTCTAGACACCCTAAAATGTTGCATTTTGCCGAAATAAGCTGGATGAGCAGAGCAATAAAAAAGCAAGTTGAAGGAGTGGCCTACCAAAATGTTCCTTTCAGCCTTACGGATTCAAAAATTGAAAAGTTTTTACGCAAAATCTGTTCGTAGGAGTTATCACAACGAATCGATTTTATTTCGAAACGCTCTGACAATAATTTGAAAATGATTTAATTTTTTTCTTGTTTTCGTGTTGGGCTTTATAATGTAGGACACCCTACTTTTTTTGATGTGTTCATTTGAATCAGTGGCGTTGTCAGAAATTTCTTCAAGACGGTGGGGGGGGGGGGGGAGGGGATCAAACACAAGTCTCTTGTAGATAAAGGGCGTGGCATAAGTTGTTTGAGCTTCCAGAAAATTCCAAATCCTTTAAATGTTGCAAGCTTCGTCCCAGTATGTAACTTTCGAATACATAGACAACTTACCCACTTGGTTGGGTTGATCTCCTTTCCAGGAATTGTGGAGTTGACGATGAGCTCTGCAGCCATATTAAGAATCTCGTAAAGTTCCATATAGTTTAAATAGTCCAATATTTAAACACCCTTGAATGTTGCTGTGAATAGTTACAACAACGGAGCTAATTGAAAAAAAAAACGGTTCATTGAAAGGCATTTCTCTAGTTTTTCACAGATTAACTAGAAGAATAGCTTGAAGTTTCAAGTTGGAGAGTTGCACTCATTACACATTTGGTGGATAATTCATGAGTGATTTGAGACATGATTGCGCATAAATGTGGGCAAATGTAGATGTGAGAAGTACATATCAAAAAAGACCAAAAGGTATGCACACTGTTTGAACCCAATAATTCTTTTGCTTCATTTTTTGCTGAACTTTGAGTGATATTCTGTTCAGCTGGCTCAACTTCAGTCTAAGTATGGAGGAAGTCACTATGCCTCAGAAAGAAAAGAACAAACCAAAATTCTTATACAGGTGATTAATGTGGCTAATTTTTATTTTGTAAAATTTTTTGTGTCTTCCAGGTATACCAAGTTAGGTGTTCCAGGTATTGGTATAACAACTGCCGTTCCAGTTCTACACATGTAGTTTGTAGTGAAACCAGCATGCAAGAACACCCTGCTAAACAATTGTCCAGATTATTTGAATAAAATTTTGTCAGACGGCCTATTTCACAATTGTTTTGAGTACGCTGGACCGTAATCCTACAACGAAGAGTTGAATCGGGGATTCAATCCATACTGTACCTAAGTTGAAGCCACTTTCACAGAATGCTTCCTGAGGACTGACAATGAAGCAAGAAAGGTATTGACGATATTGTGCGCATTTTGGGACATTTTTTGGGACAATTTCTGGAACATATCAGGTTGTCTCATAATTAATGCGCGTTTTTCTAATCTCTTTTTGAAAAAAGATGACTCTCAAAAGAACCCATTTTCTCCAAAACCCTTAAAAATGACTGATAGCTCGACTCTTCTTGATTTTACCATGTGCTCTTGTTTTCGCAAATCTTTGTTTAAACCGAAGTTCCATGCTTTCAAAGACAAGTGACTAAAATACGATATTCTATCCTTTCACTCTCCTTGCTCTAAATCCATAAACAGCAGACGGATTTTTTTTGAAAGTTATGCGTGACTACTGAGAAGTTTCAATATTAAATTTTTGAGAAATTCTGACTGAGAAAGCTTGTCTCAAACTTGGCTGGCCGCTGAGGCCCATCTGTGCTGCATAAAAATCTTAAGCAAGAAGCGACTGTACGAAATTCGCTATGTGCACCCAGGGCTCGACATAGGTGGCTTGTAAGCAAGCCAGGTATCGTTTTTGGGACAAAAAGCAAAGGGGGTTTCGTTTTTGTGGCCGAAAAGAGACGCAAAATAGGCGATTTGGCGACGTTTTTTTTGGTCGACGTTTCGTTTTTTGGGGATTTTGGGGAAATTTGGTTGAGGGTCAAAGTGGATTTCCTAAAAATTCCCAAAAGTCAAGGGACACTTCGTTTTTTCCATTTTCATTCTAGCCACCTCGTGCCGAGTCCTGTGTGCACCTCGACTGGACTCAGTACGAAAATGGCGCACTTCCTCGCCTTTTCGAGAAGAAAAAGCTTAAAAACCCAAGAAGGCAGTTTTTTGGAATTTTTAAAATTCTGAAAAAATTGCTACGTCTAATTTTTTCGCAAAATTTTTTGATAGAAGAATGCCATAAACTCCAAACTTTAATCCAATGAACAACCGACCATCGGCTTTATAATGACCAAAGTATGCGCGATCCTATTACATATAAGAGCAAGTCAAGATCTCTCAAAATGTAGGTTTCTAAGAATTGGGAATTTATCCTACTAGAAAACTTTCACAGAATGGCTACGATTCAACAAGAGCATGCGCTATATAGCCAAAAGCTTGCTGCTTGCAATAATTTACTGCGCTCAAAAAGATAGTTTTGGGAGAGAAATATCTTGATCAAAAATTGAAGTTCAAAAAACATGCATTAATTAGGAGACAACCTAATATAAGCGGCGAGTGCAAGTTTCTTTTCAAGAGGTTGACGAGCGAAAAAAAATTCTTGTGGCATACACTCTATGGCCGGAAAAATACTTAAAACCTCTATGGATTTTTCGAGAAGCTTATGAATTCGAGATTTACGAAAAAGTTTGCGTTGAGTAAGCCACGTCGAGCTAGGCTGCTGAATAGTTCGTTGTTTTTTACCAATATAAAATTTTGTTATTTATGCTCCCCCCCCCCCTCCTTTCGTTCGCAACTGACATTAACATAGATAAAAGTCACTACCTATCTCTTGTGAACTATCAACAAACAGCAGCAATCCCATACGTTTGGTTAAGACCGCATTTTACTCCTGCTACCAATTTATTATACTCTAATCACAATTAGTGTAACCTACTAGAAATTTGCTTTCTTGGTGCAACGTAGTATACTTACGGATCAAAAGTAAGAGGGTCGGGTACCTCATGCGATTTCAGTTGCGACCGATTTGGCAATATTCCAACTGTTCATAACTCACTGTAAGCACATTTTAAATGTACAGAAGATAGGGTATTTTATCAATCCATGTAAGTTATACATATTATGCATGTGCAATCTGCTAGTGTTGGTTCTGAAGACTTCTGGCGAATTGGTAAATCGCGTCGCGACTAAAATCACGTGAAGTATGCCCGGCCCTTTACTCAGAACGGCAGTGATATTGTTTGGAAGATGTGAATGGAAGAAATCGTATGGCCTGACAAACTTTTTACATTAACTCAATATGTTTCAATGCGAAAATCGTTTCTTACACCAGCTTCCGAATGACACGATATACACAAGAATTAATTTCCGACAGAGCAAAGTAAGTTTTACGAGATAACTGAAACTAATCGTGGTTCATGCATATGAAGCTAAAATCACTACCATTTGTTTGCCCTTAAAACTGATCACAATTCACCAACTTATCCTTGTCTTTTGCTGTCATGTTCTGAATATATTTTAACTCATAAATGAACGTGCTTTTGGAGTTTTGCTGTTTGAAAAACACGAGGCATAGCAGGCTGAAATTACAAAAATATTGCCTCTTTCAAGTTTTTTTGGATATCATGAACTAGAGCACATCGAATCGTGCTTGTATACTTTGGAGATTTTTAGTACAAGTTATCTAAAGGAAAATATCTAGTATCGTTAACTTCTATTATTGCTCGTTTTCCGATTTCCAGGCTGATCACGGAAGGCACATATGTTGCAACCAGGGCTCGGCACGAGGTGGCTTACAAGCAAGCTGGATATCGTTTTTGGGACGAAAAGCAAAGGGGGTTTCGTTTTTGTGACCGAAGAGACACGGAAAATTGGCGACGGCGACCTTTTTTTTTAGTCGACGTTTCGTTTTTTGGGGGATTTTGGGGAATTTTTCAGGTTTTTAGAGGAAATTTGGTTGAGGGTCAAAGGGGACTTCGTAAAAATTCCCAAAAGTTAAGGGGGACTTCGTTTTTTCCATTTTCATCTAGCCACCTCGTGCCGAGCCCTGGTTGCAACTGCCCGGTAGAAAGACTGTAAAAGAAATTTTTGTTTGAGCGAACAACTATCGGGTTGAATAGATGTGTATAGACTTTGACTTCAAACTTTGCGTGGACTACTATTTCGGCAAATTCTAGATGGTCTCTGTGAAACAGTGCCCTTATGCACTCTCTGGTGTCATACTGTTTCCGTTGTGCGAAGAATTCAGCACTCCCTTTGTATCAACCTAATCGACCAAATTAATCGCTCTGAGAATCTGAGCTATATTTTTAGCTGTGCGTTTCTCGAACATAATTTCAACAGATTCAAGCCATCAGCGCTGAAAACCAGAAGTGCGTTTATCAGAGCTCACGAATCTCTGTAATGCGTCTGCAATTTGATGAGGAAGTAATGATAATAAGAGAAAAAGAGCAACGATTGCTTGCAAAAAAACTTTTCTAGATTGAAAAGACTATGATGCTACTGCCACTATGATGTTCACTTATGGTCGCATGCACTAACATGCCCGTTGATGAGGGGATCACCGCTTACAAGGGATTGGTCAGAAGTCGAAGTGGCCAATCCATACAAGCTGCATACCATTCGATGCAGCATATAATGCTGATTTCAAATCTGTCTTCCATATCTGCAGAGCGTCTTTGGAGGCGAAATTATGAGCAGCTTTAATGCAAAATCATGTACAAAAACTGCGATATTAGGCACATTATTGCTCTTTCAACTCACCTCTGAGTACGGGTCGTATGAAGTGACCTAGTTGCATGTTTTGGTTTAACAATGAGCCGAGAATGGCTTTGTACGGCCAAGTTTGCACTTTACATGCACAATTTCTTAGCAAAATAATGATCTTCAACGGCTTATAATTCCGTCCACAAAAGTGCTCTGCAGATAAGGGATACAGATTTAGAGTCAGCGTTTTATGCTGCATCTATTGGTATGCAGATTGTATGGATTGGCCACTTCGACTTCTGACCATTCCCTTGTTAGAAGAAAGAAGAAGCTTCATAACCTTAAGCTGCAGATACTTGGATTTCATGCTGTCTACCTATTCAAAACTACTACCGTCCTTCACTAAGAACATATTGAACATGAGCGAGAAGTTGTATAGGCCGCATAAACAAACAAAGAAATAGAATTCCATAACTTAAGAAAGAATATTCTAAGGTATTCCAAAATATTCCAAAATTATTAGCTAACCAGTGCGTCACCTCTGCCTCGCAGAGGCTCGCACTGGCCCTACAATACCGCTCATAATTGTCAAAAAAGTCGCCGGACTGCGGCGCACTTCGCCACACTCCGCCACAGTGCGCCGGAGTGTGGCAGAGTGCGCCGGAGTGCGGTAGAGTGCGCCACACTCCGCCGCAGTGCGCCGGAATGATCGTCAATTTAGCCATATCTCGCTTCAGAATGGACGAATTCTGAATCCGAGCACACCGTTCGATTCAGCTCGACGAGACGCATCATCTTATATATGAAGCTGTACGTCCGTTTGTCTGCTTGTCTGTACGTATGTTCCGAATAGAAAAATCCATTTCTGAACCGATCCGGACCAAACTTGGCACACA